TTGCACTTTCACTGGCACATTAATTAATCTTTATTGACCACTCAGGTCACCTGCCAGCAAATTGAATCTTGCATACAAACATATTTTACGGAGAACTCGGGATCTGTTTCTTCGGCAGTGCCCCTGTGGGAGGCGCATAAAGCCACGGTGTGGGGCCACATTATACAGCTGGCTGTAGCTCGGAAGTGGGAGCATCATCTTTCAGACCTTCACTCTCTGCTAGCCTCTGCGGGTGCCTGTTGGAAGTTGCACCTGTCCGTGGCCCATAAATGAATGCGAGACACCCTGGCTGCAGAATTGCACTTACTTGCATCTTCGGAGGCTGAACAGGCCTTGCGTTGGACCAAACATAAATTTTATACCTGTGCTAATAAACCGGGTCCGATGCTGGCTAGGAAACTCAATTCTGTGACGGAAACCCCACAAACTGGTCCAGTTGTGGCTCTCTGCGGGAGGGGGCTGCACCTCCAATCCCCAGCAGATTGCCTCCCACTTTGCGGAGTTCCTTTCACATCTGTACACCAAACCAGATCCCTTTCCTGCAGCTCAGGCGGAAGCGTTCTTTCAAGATTTACGACTCCCTGGATTGTCCGAAGCGACGCGGGTAGCCCTTAATGCGGGTGTAACCGTATCAAAAGTACTTCAAGCCATCAAATTTTTACAGTCCATCGCAGCCCCAGGTCCTGATGGTTTTTCAGGTCTTTATTACAAGAAATTTGCAACCTTATTGGCGCCCTTCTTGGCTGGTAGCTTCAATGAATTGAGACAGGGTTCTCTACCCTCTCTGGACATGCTTAGAGCTCATATCTCAATGATTACTAAGACAACGGAAGACCTGCAGGAACTGCAGGTCTTTTGGCCCATTTCTCTTCTTAATGAGGGTTTGGAGATATTGGGCAAAATTCTCAGTCTTCGTATCAATAAATACTTGCATAGTCTGGTCCATAGGGACCAAGTAGGTTTCTTCCCTGAGAGGCAGGCGGGTGATCATGTTCGTAAAGTAGTCCACCTTATACACCTTCTGCAACAGCGAAAAATTCCGGGATTCTTACTGTTTTTAGGTATATACAAGGCTTTTGATTTCCTATCCTGGGAATGCCCGCGGTTCATGCTGTCCCTGCTGGGGCTTTGGGGATTCTATCCTTTCTTGGATTCAGGCCTTGTATTCTTCCCCTTCAGCTTTTGGTTAAGTATGTAGAGTATTTCTCAGATGTCCCCTGTCCCCGGCGCCCTTTGTCCTGGCAGTTGAGCCACTAGCTTTGGTGCTCTGGGCTGATTGTAACATATCGGGTGTCCCTTAAGCAGGACAGGAATTTAAGTTGAACCTTTTTGCGGATGATGCCCCCTTGACTCTCACTAATCCATTCATGACGCTCCCAAACTTGCAACAGGTTCTTGACCCCCATCTATGGCTTGATTGCTGCAAATTATTATCCACTGCTTTGCTCTGTGTCCTCTCTTATGCACTCTTGGCAATTCCCGCAGCTGTCCTGGATAGGACAGGTTAATTTGGTGAAAATGACAATCCTGCCTAAATTGTTGTATTATTTTTGCACCCTGCCAGTGTGGGTTCCTCCTCATTTCCTTCGCTTGATTCAGGTGAGGATTATGCAATTTATCTGGGCTGATAGATGCCCCAGAGTCTACAGAAATACACTTTTTGTCCAGAGACTGCAAGGAGGTCTTGGGGTGCCTAGTGTAGCTAAGTATTACCAGGCGAGCCAGATTGCCCCATTCTCTATGTTGCACGCTCCCTCTGATGTTCCTCTCTGGGTCCTTTTGGAACTACCTAACTGTGCCCCCACTGCAAAATTGACGCTTTTATGGCTCCCCCATGCCCCACACACATGGGCAACATAATATGGAGAGCTAACATATTAACAAATATGAAGTGTTTACTCACCTCTCCAGCGATCCAGTGTCTGATCTTCTCTCCAGTGCACAGCCGCCATCCCTTCAGTGTTTGGGCTGGGTAACGCATTGCTTGGCCTTCAAGCAAAACCTTGCTGCGCCTAAGCTGAGCCACATTGATACCTGTCAGCCTGTCTCTATGGTTCCCCCTTTGTCCAGTGTTATCCTGTGCTATTGTGCACAGGAGGTGTCCCACATCTGAAGTTTGGGCTCCACCCTGCTAAAAAAAGGGCATGTTTGCTTTCTATTGAAACAAGATCCTCCATGGGTGGGGGATCCTTGTAGAAGAGAGGGTCAGGAGACAGCGTAAGCATCGCATTACTATACCTGGGAAACCTCTATTGTGCCTACTGTGTCCAGCGTTTCCCTATGACTCAAAAAATGCCCCCATGCCTTAGAAATAGACAATTGCAATAAGATGAAGATGACCAGCAATACGGTTAATGCACAGAGTCACAGAATTATTACGCTTGCCATTGCAAAGACTTAGGCCTAAACAGAAAACCTCTTTCTGGAGAAACATTATCTATGCAGTCGACAGGAGTCCACACATTGACTTGATTACACCTAATAATATTAATGATATTATAAAAAAAAAAATAATGGGTATTATTAACACAGTAAATGATTTAAAGTGGCTGAAAACCACAGAGCTCTAGCAGCAGGGGGCAGAGGGTGGGGATCTGCAGATCTTAGTGAGGAGAGCTCTGATTGGAGTACATACAGTATATGGAGAACATGTAGAGTTGGCCATAGATTGACTGAATCTCGGCTGGTTCAGCTGAGACCGGCCGATGATCCATCCATCTATGAACAAGCTGATTGTACCCAAGTCAATCCATTGATCAATAATTGATTATAAAAACAATGTGCGCTACCACAAAATATGAAGTAAAATAGAATAAAATAAAATAAAAGTTGCTGCAAACACTTAAAAGTGATCCCACACTCAATAAATCAAATAAAATAGAATAGTGTTAGCGCTACTTCTTATAATACATACTAAGAAAAATATTATTGTGATAACAATAATAAAGAGTATAATCAATAAATAAGCAAACAGTACTCAAGTGTATATAAAGTCTTTAAGTGCTTAATAAGTCCAAAAAACTGAATAAATCTTGTGCCTCCACAGCAAAAACAGTTCTTTTGCTTCCACTGACAGTGCTCCAACGAAAATGAATTCAGTGCCCCTCCACCTGAGAATAAGATGACAGCTCACCTCAAATGGTGGACCTATATAACATAGGTCTAACAAGCATGATCACTCCATAAATGGACACCAGATGGCAGCAAAGGAGTTGTACTAAATACCAATGGAGATGGTAATAAATGGTCACCCACAGGGATTTCTTCACAACTCAACCTCAGTATATAAGAAGAGAGAACAGCCTCCAATAGTGTAAAATCATTTATTAAATAAAAGCTATCCCTGACGAAGCCACGTGGGTTGGTGGCGTAACACGTCGGGCGGAGCTTAGTAACGCCACTTCCGGTTACAGATCCGCGGACCGGAAGTTTGGAGATTCTATGCTGTTTTAACTGATCCTGTTACAATGTGAGTGTTTACTCTCTTTGCTCTTTTATTTTATAAATGATTTTACACTATTGGAGGCTGTTCTCTCTTCCTATATACTGAGGTTGAGTTGTGAAGAAATCCCTGTGGGTTACCATTTATTACCATCTCCGTTGGTGTTTATTACAAGTCCTTTGCTGCCATCTGGAGTTCATTTATGGAGTGATTATGCTTGTTAGACCTATGTTATATAGGTCCATTATTTGAAGTGAGCAAAAGCACCATCTTATTCTCAGGTGGAAGGGTACCGAATTCATCTGCAGTGGAGCACTGTCAGTGGAAGCATAAGAACTGTTTTTGCTATGGAGCACTATCTATGGAGGCACTTAAAGACTTTATATACACTTGACCACTGCTTGTTTACTTATTGATTATACTGTTTATTATCACAATAATATTTTTATTAGTATGTATTATAAGAAGTAGCGCAACACTATTCTATTTTATTTTATTTAATCCATTGATCAACTTGGCTACAACCAGCCTGTTGAATTTTTAGTATGCGATTACTGCCTGCGACTATAGGTGCTAACAGTAATTATTGTGTTCTGCTGACAGGGAAAGCCCTGCCCCGGCCCCCGCCAGCAGATCACAACAGCACTGCATTGATGGGAGAATTGAGCAATTTTATTTTCTTTTGCCCATTGTGGAACGAAAGAAAATTGATTCATCTATGGCTTGCCTAAGAATATTAATCGCAGGCTGTGTGCTGGAGCTCCCCTCCCTTGTCACCATTTTATCTCTTGGTGTCAGGAAAACCTGTCAGAGGTGACTGATGCTGATGAGGAACGAGACGGCAGAGAGAAAGCACGCTCAGTGCTGTGGATAGAGACAAATACACAGTATAGAAGGATGTACTTTGTTCACATTTCATACCTAAGCTTTACAGCCACTTTAAGTGAATATACAAGTGGATTAATGTGCAGCTTTTTACACTTGGTTGGAGTTAAGTGTAATGACTGCACTGTCAAAGGTTTAAATGTCTGTACTATAGGAAGAATGGGCAGTCAGGTCTCTGAATGGACATCAACCATGGCATGTCATTTTCAGATGATTACATCTGACCTGGGAAAAAAAAAAAAAAACAGTTGGGCGAGAGTGATAGCATCAAAATTGGAAGCCTGCAGGAATTAGTTCTCATTTTAAATATAAGGAGGATCAAGATGGTATATGATAAATGTATCAGTAAATTGACTGTTTGAGAATATTCTGGGTTCTTTCTGCACTGCCCCTTTTGTCTTTATTAAACAACTCCAATATTTGCACAACTCTTAATGCAGCATAACATTTTCCCATCTGACATTTACTGATATGACGAGCTTACAAATCTGGTAAAGATGTAACTTGAATTTATGCAGTATGGTTTGCCATTCATGAGAGATATTATGGTTTCTTTAACAGCTTTGATGTAAATACAGTTTTCAGCTCTAGTGAAAAATAAAGTAAAATCTCGAGCAATATCAAGGAGAGTATATTAGGTGTCTGTTACCATTATCATTGATTATGTACTTACATGAAATCTTTGGTCCACCTCACAGTTAACCTGCTTTCTGAAATCCTTTGTGTATGGAAGAAAATGAGAAAAGAAAAATGTGCATTATTTCCAACACAATCAGCATGAAGTACCCATTGTTATATCCCTACAGACAAGCCTGACTGACAGGAAACATTGGTTACAGAGAAACTATAGCCTTTTCAGGGATTTTTATACACATGTGAAAGAGATCTGTTTAATTTAAACAATCTAACAATACATGTTCATCTTAAAAAAATGTTTTATGCATATGCATGCAAATCAGTGGCCATATTTGATCACTTAGTATATAGGCGTTGATTCTTGGCTGTGCTTCCTCGATTCTCTTATCTGACTACAAGTCTACCAAGCTAGTATCTGAGCATCTGTATTACTGAAAACAGACACCCTGAAGAGGTATAAAACACCTACAATACCCTGGTAGCCAGAGATCATATGATCTTGGCTCTGGGGCATAGGAGGACTCTGGATCACAAAGGAGAGCTCAGGAGCAGCATTATTTACTTTTTTTTTTAACTATTTATTTCATATTGAAGACATATAATATTAAAAAGCTATTTTAACACAAAATAATAATGTAAAGTAAAGCTAACACATGTTCTACTGGTTCATGTGAGATTTGTGATAAGTTCACTTAAATGCCAAAGTACAATTTTCAGACAAGTTACTTATACAGTGAAGCAATGAAAAATAAATCTTTACGTAGCAAGTTACTACTAAGCATACAATCATATCCATAAGCAGAGGTTACCTTCAGTAAAACAAAATTGCTCATAAAATATGGCTAGAAGATCCAGAGACATAAAAAGCGGATTTGCTAAGCTGAGCTGGGATCTGGAACCTTATTATTATTGGAAGTCTTGTTTTCCTACAGGGAAGCTTGAGAAGTAGGGGAATGGGATGTGGCTCAGCTCAACTTCTGTAGAAAAAGTGGAATCTAACAAATTTTATTAGACTTCGTTTTCCCTGAATGCAATCAATGCTTATACATGCACTTACCAGCCACTTTATTAGGTACACCTTGCTAGTACCAAGAAAATATCCCCCACACCATTGCACCACCACCACCACTACCAGCCTTAACCATTCATACAAGACAGGATAAAATCCATGCTTTCATGACCCTACAATAAAAACTGAAACTCGCAGTAACCAGTCTGCCCATTCTCCTCTGACCGCTGACATCAACAAAGTATTTTCGTCCACACAACTGCCACTCACTAGATATTTTCTCTTTTTTTTGGACCTTTCTCTGTAAACCCTAGAAATGGTTGTGCATGAAAATCCCAGTAGATCAACATTTTTTTAAATACTCAGACCAGCCCATATGGCACCAACAACCATGCCACTTTCAAAGTCACTTAAATCCCATTTCTTCCCCATTCTGATGCTCGGTTTGAGCTTCAGCAAGTTGTCTTCACCACGTCTACATGCCTAAATGCATTAAATTGCTGCCCTGTGATTGGCTGATTAGCAATTTGTGTTACCAAGCAATTGAACAGGTGTACCTAATAAAGTGGCTGGTGAGAATATAAGAAGTGCACAGAGGAAAAAGTACACCACCATCAAGAGAAATAATGGCAGCCCATTGGGAAACACTGTAGGTCACCAACATGGCAGGATAACCATCAAAAAAGAACAATGACGAGGTTGTCCATGGAGGCAGGTATCTAATACCCTCAGTATGATGCGTGGAACTTCAAAAGGAAAGAAACAGAGCAGGAAAAGTAAGGGAAGAATGAGATGAAGTAAAAACGGGGAAGGGAAGGGGGGGGGGGGATCCTGCCTGAGGGTAGGTCACCAAGATCACCAGCGGCAGAAAACTATGGTCTTATACAGAAACTAGAGGAATGGTTGGAGTTTTGGAGTTTGGCTGATGTAGAGAAGTCAATCCAAGTGAACCTTACAGCTACAAACTTTGAGCACTGTTCATGGAGGCTGGCAGTTAGTTCCTCCATCCTCATTACTCAGTTGAGTTTCCCAACCCATTAACTAAGAGAGGGAATCATTGTCGTTTTCCAGTGTCTGGAGATCAGGAAATGTCCCGCAGACAGAGTAAATCAAAAAAGGCCTTTCTTAAGAAAAGTGATTGACCCAGTAACCAATATTTACAGTGGGGATCGAAAGTTTGGGCACCCCAGCTAAAAATTTGTATTAATGTGCATAAAGAAGCCAAGGAAAGATGGAAAAATCTCCAAAAGGCATCAAATTACAGATTAGACATTTTTATAATATGTCAACAAAAGTTAGATTTTATTTCCATCATTTACACTTTCAAAATAACTGAAAACAAAAAAATGGCGCCTGCAAAAGTTTGGGCACCCTGCAGAGTTAATATCTTGTACTGCCCCCTTTGGCAAGTATCACAGCTTGTAAACGCTTTTTGTAGCCAGCCAAGAGTCTTTCAATTCTTGTTTGAGGTATCTTTGCCCATTCTTCCTTACAAAAGTCTTCCAGTTCTTTGAGATTTCTGGGCTGTCTGTCACGCACTGCTCTTTTAAAATCTATCCATAGATTTTCAATTATGTTGAGGTCAGGAGATTGTGAAGGCCATGGCAAAACCTCAGTTTACGCCTCTTGATGTAATCCCCCATGGATTTTGAGGTGTGTTTAGGATCATTATCCATTTGTAGAAGCCATCCTCTCTTTATCTTCAGCTTTTTCACAGATGGCATCAAGTTACCATCCAAAATTTGCTGAAATTTTATTGAATCCATTTTTCCTTCTACTCGTGAGATGTTCCCTGTGCCACTGGCTGCAACACAACCCCAAAGCATGATTGATCCAACCCCATGCTTAACAGTTGGACAGAGGTTCTTTTCATTAAATTCTGTGCCCCTTCTTCTCCAAACGTACCTTTGCTCATTCCGGCCAAAAAGTTCAATTTTAACCTCATCGGTCCACAGAACTTGTTTCCAAAATGCATCAGGCTTGTCTATATGTTCATTTGCAAAGTTCAAACGATGATTTTTGTGGTGAGGACGTAGAAGAGGTTTTCTTCTGATGACTATTCCATGGAGACCATATTTGTACAAGTATCTCTTTATAGTGGAATAGTGTACCACAACTCCAGTGTCTGCCAGATCTTTCTGGAGGGATCGTGCAGTCAAACGTGGGTTTTGAATTGTTTTTCTCACAATCCTGCAAGCTGTTCTGTCTGATATTTTTCTTGGTCTTCCAGATCTTGCTTTAACTTCCACTGTTCCTGATGACTGCCATTTCTTAATTACATTCCGAACAGAGGATATTGACATCTGAAAACGCTTTGCTATCTTCTTATAGCCTTCTCCAGCTTTGTGAGCATCAACTATTTTCAGTTTCAGTTTTCTAGACAACTGCTTAGAAGAACCCATGGTGCTGATTGTTGGGCAAGGTCAGATGAGTCTGGGCATTTAAAACCTTTGAGATTGACATCACCTGGTCTTCCCAGATGATGATTGAGAACAATCCATGACACTGGCAGGTCTCAGCTTTGCAAAGGGGGCAGTGCATGCTATAAATTCTGCAGGGTGCCCAAACTTTTGCAGACGCCATTTTTTTGTTTTCTGTTATTTTGAAAGTGTAAATGATGGAAATAAAATCTAACTTTTGTTGACATATTATAAGAATGTCTAATCTGTAATTTGATGCCTTTTGGAGATTTTTCCATCTTTCCTTGGCTTCTTTATGCACATTAATACAAATTTTTAGCTGGGGTGCCCAAACTTTCGATCCCCACTGTATATATATTTTATCAACTTGTCCATTATCTAATTTCTTTAAATGTGTAGAGGCTCTAGAAATATATCCACCTTGCTAAAGAGAAATGTTATATTGAAGTCTACATTCTAAAGACACAACTATCTATATATCTATACTTCCTCGTGGCAAAATCTGAGTTTTTCCTTTTGGAAACATTCAATTTTTTTAAGAGTACTTTATGTAACAGCTTAAAGCTGAACTCAAGGATAAGCAAACATTATCTAAATCCCTGGTGCCCAACCAGCGGCCCTAGGGTTGCATGTGGCCCTTTGGCTCTTACTATATGGCCCTTGGAGGGGACTTTTGTGCTTTCGCAAGTGAAGGAATCTGTTAGAATGCCTTGTAGTTGGTAAAAAAAAATTGGTTTATTTCATTCCCAACATCTTATTTTTTTCTGCTCTGCCCATTCCTTTAATCTTTATTTTTTATTTTCTCTAATCTTTCAGAATACTTCTTTTTAACTTTGGTTTAAATTTAAATTATTAAATGTGGCAAAAGGTATTATCTAGCATCTGTAGCAGTCTCATGTAATGTCTCTCCAGTCTATGCCTGTGTACCTGATACATGTTTCTAGCCTCCAAACAACTTTTACAGCATGTTTGACGTATCTTACCATCTCCTGTTGCATATCTACAGTCCCTGACCATCTTTTGTAGCATGTCTGCATACTGTGACTATCTCCTCCTACAGTCTCTGGCGATCTCTTCATTCACTTGATATTATGTGCTGCCCTATAGTGGTGTCAGTGGCTGCAACTATGGTCCCCTATATCAACTGAGTTGACCAACACTGGTCTAAATATATGAGGTATGTGTATTCTTACTTAAATTTTGCCATGGTTTGTGTATTTTTTTCCAATCTGCATAGTAATAAAGACTGGTTACTTCTGCTTTCTCTCCTTGTGGGGGACGACTGGTCTTTTTATCTGCCTCCCTGTAGTTTTCTCATAGCCTGCTCTTGGCACAGGACATGAGCAGCACAGTGTTGATATCACTATTTTTTATTTCTACACAGTGATTTCTAGGTTTGCAAAGGCATTTAGTGCACCAAAAAATGTTTTTGTTTCCTTTGTGGCTACTGAGGAATAAATTTGAGTTAAAGTTTTTTTTTCCAGGTTGAGCTTTCCCTCCACAAGTCAATAGATAATAATTACAAATATGACAGTCAACAGAAAGGTGAGGTTACGCTACAAAACATCTAAATACCCAATTGAATCTTGTTCACAATATTATATTAGCAAGATGAAGTGTACAAATGTGATCCATAAAGCGAATTAGGAGTGAGGTCTGACTGATACCTCTGTACAAGCAATAACAACACTAATACCAAAACCTGCAAAATATGGCACTGCAAAAGACCAATGCTCTACCCCAATCCAGAGGGGTGGGCAAAACTTTATACAGGAAGGGATGGACAAAGTATTCTTATTAAGTGTTCTTGTATGGCAAGACCACTTACTGTTATCTCACATATATATTCTTATTATTATAGCCAAATTTACCACCCTAACTCCTCCCACAGTTTTTACGCTACATAGACAGTAATATACCAAAACGTGCGGATTGTTCCCGATTGGTGTGCTATTACTTTGTGGAACGTTTCGCCGAATGGTTCAAAAAATATCAGCGTTTTTGTGGTGAAATTGGTCCCATAGGAATGAATGGTGGAATGTTCAAAACTAGAGTGGGAGCTGACAAAAGCTAGCGTGTACACTGAAAAATCAGGACATGATTTCTAAACTGCCATCACGCTCTCATTTTCAAGCCCACCTACACAAAACTCATCTCAAAACGTTCAGCTATCCCTGCTGCCACTAAAAATTTCCACATCTAAGCCATAGTCCTGATAGTTTTCACAATATGACCATTTGTTTGCAACTCACGCCGCCCATTCACATTCATTGAAACTCCACTGTAGCCACCTCAAATTTGAAGGGCAATTTCTAAACTGCGACTGTGCCTTCATTTTTAATATTTAATATTTCAGATACATACTATGAATCAAAATGTAGGTCTGGGTCTTGTGATTCTCACAATATAAAGCTCTTCAGTGTAGAATTTATAGTTTTTAAACTACAACCATTTGAAGATGGCAACCGCCAGTGAAGTGAGCAAGTTGGAGCAGTTTGTTTTTAAATGCTCTTCTCTGCCCTTGCTGTAGAGTGAGTTTCCATAGGAACCCCGGTGTGTGAGCAGGAAGCAGAGTGACGAAAGCTAGAGTGTGAGTTGTAGACTACTGGTGGAGGCAAAAACACTTCACACAGTTTCCCCAGAAATTGTAGATTTTCTAGTTAAAAGTTTTCTTTTTTTTAGAAATCATACTTACCTAGGTGGATGCTGCATCTGTCCCCCGTTGGCTCTAAGACTGAGCGATCAAAGACCGCTGATCGCTCAGATCTTGGTGATTTGTGAGCAGAGAGCTAGTGACTGTCAGTTACCACTCTCTGGCATGCCCTCCTCCCCACCCCCCCCCTCCGCGCTCACTGGAGTGCTGCGCTGTGGAGGGTGTGGGATCGGCTGGCAGATTTCTGAGAGGCTGAGTCAGGTGCCAGTCCAGGCTTCTGGGTGGATCCAGACTTTAAAGTTGGGATCTTTCCCCAGCCTAGGTGACGTCAGCTGACAGTGGGCTTCAGCTCGCTGTCAGCTGAAAACAGGTCACAGGAGTGCAGAATAAACTGCACTCCTGTGATCCTCAGGAAAAGTACAGTTAAACAAGCTTTGGCTGTACTTCCTTTAAAATCCTAATTTTTGGAAGGTGTAATTAAAAGCATTCCAGGGTTTTCATGCATCTAATAACTTATAGTTTAACTTATAGTTTTTTTAACCAAAAAATAGCAAAAAAGCATAATAAATCACCATGGACCCTGCTAGAACAATCAAATTTATAAAACAAAGAAAGACATCTGGGAACTAATTATGATGAAAATATTTTTGTTTGATATATAGTTTAATATATCTCTTTTAATCAGGGTTTTAGATGAGTATAAAGTGCAAGATGCAGTCATCTGTAGCCTGCTCATCTCTGTACTAGTTTAATGCGGTCAACTCAGTAAAAAAGGTACTGCACTGCACAGCTTAGGATACCAGCAGGCAGATAGATTGCAATAACCTGTGCATGACTGTTCTCAATTAAATACACTACCATCAGCTTTGATAACAGGCTTTGTGGGATGGAAAGACAATTTAAAGTGGTATATTAAGCAGACAACTATATGAACAGTTGAAAGACGTATGTGATCCGTTTTAACTGCCAAAGGATTTAATCCTGGTCTGCCAGTCTTGTGATTCACACACCTCCACCTGCCTTGCCAGCAACATTACTTCACTGTCTCCTGGTTCAGATTCATGACTTCCTAGACTACCTGCTGGAGAAAGAAAGTAATGAAGGAAGCCACAAAACTGGACCAGGACAAGGAGTGTCAACAGTTGAGCTATCCAGTGTAACAGGGTTGATCACAAGGCTGGCTGAACAATTACAGTATATATATACAGTCATGGCCGAAATTGTTGGCACCCTTGATATTTCTCCAGGAAATCATGTATTTCTCACGAAACGTATTGCATTAACACATGTTTTGCTATACACATGTTTATTCCCTTTGTGTGTATTGGGACAAAACAAAAAAAGGGAGGAAAGAAAGCAAATTCGACATAATGTCACACAAACCTCCAAAAATGGGCTGGACAAAAGTATTGGCACCCTTTCACAACTGCGGATAAAATAAGAATGTTACAAGCATGTGATGCTCCTGTAAACTCACCTGGGGCAAGTAACAGGTGTGGGCAATATAGAAATCACACCTGAAAGCAGATAAAAAGGAGAGACGTTCACTTAACCTTTGCATTGTGTGTCTGTCTGTGCCACACTAAGCATGGACAACAGAAAGAGGAGACGAGAACTGTCTGAGGACCTGAGAACCAAAATTGTGGCAAAATATCAACAATCTCAAGGTTACAAGTCCATCTCCAGAGAACTAGATTTGCCTTTGTCCACAGTGCGCAACATTATCAAGAAGTTTGCAACCCATGGCACTGTAGCTAATCTCCCTGGTCGTGGACGGATGAGGAAAATTGATGAAAGATTGCAACGCAGAATAGTCCGGATGGTGGATAAGCAGCCCCAAACATGTTCCAAAGACATTCAAGCTGTCCTGCAGGCTCAGGGAGCATCAGTGTCAGCGCGAACTATCCGTCGACATTTAAATGAAATGAAACGCTATGGCAGGAGACCCAGGAGGACCCCACTGCTGACACAGAGACATAAAAAAGCAAGACTACAGTTTGCCAAAATGTACTTGAGTAAGCCAAAAGCCTTCTGGGAAAACGTCTTGTGGACAGATGAGACCAAGATAGAGCTTTTCGGTAAAGCACATCATTCTACTGTTTACCGAAAACGGAATGAGGCCTACAAAGAACAAAACACAGTACCTACGGTAAAATATGTGGAGGTTCAATGATGTTTTGGGGTTGTTTTGCTGCCTCTGGCACTGGGTGCCTTGACTGTGTGCAAGGCATCATGAAATCTGAGGATTACCAAAGGATTTTGGGTCGCACTGTAGGGCCCAGTGTCAGAAAGCTGGGTTTGCGTCCAAGATCCTGGGTCTTCCAGCAGGACAATGACCCCAAACATACGTCAAAAAGCACTCAGAAATGGATGGCAAAGAAGCGCTGGAGAGTTCTGAAGTGGCCAGCAATGAGCCCAGATCTAAATCCCATTGAACACCTGTGGAGAGATCTTAAAATTGCTGTTGGGAAAAGGTGTCCTTCCAATAAGAGAGACCTGGAGCTGTTTGCAAAGGAAGAGTGGTCCAAAATTCCGGGTGAGAGGTGTCAGAAGCTTATTGATGGTTATAGGAAGCGACTGATTTCAGTTATGTTTTCCAAAGGGTGTGCAACCAAATATTAAGTTAAGGGTGCCAATACTTTTGTCCAGCCCATTTTGTGTGACATTATGTCATATTTGCTTTTCTGCCTCTGTTTTATATTTGTTCCAATACAAGGGAATAAACATGTGTATAGCAAAAATGTGTTAATGCAATACCTTTTTTGTGTGAAATACTTGATTTTCAGGAAAAATATCAAGGGTGCCAACAATTTCGGCCATGACTGTATATATATATATATATATATATATATATATATATATAGATATATAGATAGATATAGATATATATAGATAGATATACACATACACACAGTACCTCACAGACGTGAGTACACCCCTCACATTTTTGTAAATATTTTATTATATCTTTTCATGTGACAACACTGAAGAAATGTCCAAATTGGGCCCAAAGTGTCAATATTTTGTGTGGCCACCATTATTTTCCAAAACTGCCTTAACCCTCTTGGGCATGGAGTTCGCCAGAGCTTCACAGGTTGCCACTGCAGTCCTCTTCCACTCCTCCATGACGACATCAGGAGCTGGTGGATGTTAGAGACCTCCACCTTCCATTGAGGATGCCCCACAAATGGAACACATTTCCATAAAATAAGACTCTACAGCATACTGTATAGGGAAACTTACCTTTTGTGCTACTAAAAAGGTCAGTCGACGAATCCCATGGTCCATTAGTATCAATTTCTGTTTAAATAAATAAAAAAAAATAAATAATAAAATGTATCAAAACTCAGAAATAATCTCTTAGTAAACAAACTTTAAAATGCTACAGATTTTGTATTTTCATAGCACGTTAGGATTTTTTAACCACTTTAGCCTCCCCGACATAACTGTACCTTGCAAGGTTGAAGTGGTTATACCAGGATGATTCCTGCAGCTAAAGGCATCATCCCGGTGTCTATTTTTTTTGCAAGCAGCGGACTTTAACCACTTCATAACCTGGCACTTTTACCCCCTTCCTACCCAGGCCAATTTTCAGGGATCAGTGTTCTCACACTTTTAATGACAATTGTGCGGTCATGCAGCACTGTACCCAAACTACATTTTTATCATTTTGTTCACACAACTAGAGCTTTCTTTTGGTGGTATTTAATCAACACTGGGGTTTTTATTTTTTGCTAAATTAACAAAAAAAAAGACCAAACATTTTGAAAAAAACCCCACTTTTTTTGTTTCTGTTATAAAAGTTTGCAAATAAATAATTGTTCTTCATAAATTTAGGCCAAGATGTATTCTGCTACATTTCTTTGGTGAAAATAACCCAAATCAGTATTTATTATTTAGTCTGTAGGAAAGTTATAGAGTTCACAAACTATGGGATATCTGAAATTTGATCAATCTTGAAGTACGAACAGCCAATCTAATTTCTTGAGGCTCAAAAATGTCAGAACAGTACAGATATTCCCCAAATGACCCCTTTAGTCAAGAAAACCCCTTCTTTGGTAATATATAGTTCAATCATCACCATTTGCATCAGAAATTATGTTTTATGTATTGTGTCTATGTCTTTTCATTGATGTACTATGTTCAATAAACTTTTTCTATAAAACCTTTTTTCTTTTGGTACTTAAAAAGTCCCTATTTCTTCTCTGTATGTTTTTTTTATGGCTCTTAATTATAAAAGGGAGTCTGATTCATTCCATCGGTTTCCTAACGAATTTCCCATAGATGTTGATAAGGCTGGGAATGAGCCTAGATCTACACCTTTGTTTTGCTGGGCCTGCTATGTATGGACAAACCGGCAGCAGGTGTTATATCATGCACGCATCCTATCTATAACCAGTCTTGGCCAATCCAATTTGGCAATAATGCAGCCAATAATTATGTTATCAGTTTCTGTTGTGCTACACTGATTGCTACACTCATTGTGCTACCCACAGCATTTGTACACCTACATCCCATGCTGTTTGGAAAACTAGTTACTAAATCTTTGAAATTAATTTTCAATAGCAATTGCAAAGTCTACTTGTTACTTAATAAATAATTAGAACACTTTATATTATTTCATATTTCTTAAATTAAACCAGTGACATTACTAGTCATATACTGTAATCTAGTCATGATTTGATCAAGCATGACACCAAATTAAAGTACAGTATACAAAGCATGAAAAAGACAGCTCATCAAATATTGTGGGAGAAAAAAAAATTTAAAGACCTAAAAACAGCTTCTGAACTGTATTCTTCCATGGACCCTTAATATTCTTTGTTACTATTATTCTATTAAATGTATTCAAACATTTGTGTAGCTGACAGAGAAGTGTATAAAAATAGACAAAAAGGTGGCCAAACACATTATCAGTGCTGCCAAAGCACAAAAAGTGGAGGAAATGACTAAATCTATTAAGAAAGGAGATAAAACCTTTTTTAGGTACATCAGCTATAGAAGGCAAAAATACAATGGGATCACTAAAATGAAAACTGGGCATAACACTTATGTTGAGGGAGACCTGGATGTAGCAAACCATTTAAACAATTAACAAGTTGGGGAATCATATTGGTTCTAGTAATTACAGTTAAGTTTTAGGATTTCTGGAGACAGAGGAAGCAAAAGAAGTAGCTCAATTAAAGCTTAAAGCATTAGGCCCTGATGGTATTCATCCCAGAGTTCTAACAGAACTTCAAGGTATAGTTGTTGGACCATTAACTGATCTTTTTACTCAGTCTCTTCTAACAGGAGAAGTTCCCCATGACTGGTGGATAGCTAATATTGTACCTATCCACAAGAAGTGCAGCAAGGTAGACGTTAGCAATTAGAAACCAGTGAGTTTAACATTAGTTGTAGTCAAGTTAATGGAATCATTCCTGAAACGAAGGATCGCCGATAACTAAAATATCAACAACTTTCTGGACCCAAAGCAGTATGGCTTTACTCAGGGCAGTTCATGTCAGACTAATCAGACTGAATTTTTTTGTCTGTATTACCAATGTTTTGGACCAGAGTGGTGTTGTGGACATAGCAAATCTTGATTTCAGCAAGGCTTTTGACACAGTTCCACATAATGTTCTAATACAAAGGTTGTATAAGCTAAGACTTAACCCTTGGGTGGTTAAGTGGGTATGCAGTTGGCTAAAGGATAGATACCAGACTGTGGTCATAAATGGGGTTCATTTAGAACAGAGACCAGTCACTATTGGTGTACTAGGTCCTGTTCTATTTAATCTATATGTAAGTGATTTTACTGAAGGCTTCTTGGGCAAGGTACAGTTGTGTTCAAAATAATAGCAGTGTGTTGAAAAAAGTGAATAAAGCTCAAAATCCTTCTAATAGCTTTTATTTCCATACACACAAATGCATTGGGAGCACTACACATTCTATTCCAAATCAAAACATGAAGAAAAATATATCAAATTTGTGTTGTTCCTCTAAAAAAATTGAAGAAAAGTGAATATGAAACTGTTCAAAAAAAAATAGCAGTGTTTGTATTCTTCTTTACAAACTCAAACATAACCACTTTTTTTGAAGATGAGAACTGCTGTACATCTGTGTTGCATGGAGTCAACCAACTTCTGGCACCTGTGAACAGGTATTCCAGCCCAGGATGATTGGACTACATTCCACAGTTCTTCTTTATTTCTTGCTTTTGCCTCAGAAACTACATTTTTTATGTCACCCCACAAGTTTTCTATTGGATTAAGATCCGGGGATTGGGCTGGCCACTCCATAACTGTTAGGGACCAGCCGGTGGTAGCCTCTAGCGGCCCACAGACCAGAATTCCCCAGGGCGCGGAATCTAAGTTCCGACCTGCTTGTTCACCAGAGCCCCTGATGGTGGGGATGGACTTGGAGCAAGCCGAGACCAGTTCGCGACCCCTGGGTGCAATCAGCTGTGGAAGAGGCACCTGTTGGTGGTACGCAGCAGGTGAGAGTCTGATGTGAGGAGGTAGAGTAAGCGAGGTCAGACAGGCCGGGTCGGTAACAGCGGAGCAGGTCGGTACAAAACAGCAGGCAGAAGAATAAACGGGTCACGGTCCGGGTTTGGCAACAGGAGATCAAAAGTGCAGGAGCAGGCAGGGAGAATGGTCAGGCAAGCCAGGGGTCAGAGCAGGAGAAGTCAGCAGATCAGGATCAGGCAGGGTCAGCAGCAAAGGAAACTCACAGGAACACATGAAAGACCATACGGCACTTGAGCATTGCAAGAGCTGGGTTTAAATAGCCAGCCCAACTCCTGACAGGCGCTCCTGGGTCCTAATGCTTGCCTGGTGCCGTCATTGGTGACAGGCGTGTCTGGGTCCTAGTGCCCGCCTGCCTGTACGTTTTGTCAGGACTCTACGCATGTGCGGATTCGATCGCCGCAGCGATCTTCCCATTCCCTGACAATAACGTCAATCTTTTTGGTCTGGAACCAAGATGTTGCACGTTTACTGGTGTGTTTGGGGTCATTGTCTTGTTGGAACACCCATTTCAAGGGCATTTCCTCTTCAGCATAAGGCAGCATGACCTCTTCAAGTATTCTGATGTATTCAAACTGATCCATGATCCCTGGTATGCGATAAATAGGCCCAACACCGTAGTATGAGAAACATCCCCATATAATGATGCTTGCGCAACCATGCTTCACTGTCTTCACAGTATATTGTGGCTTGAATTCAGTGTTTGGGGGTCGTCTGACAAACTGTCTCCGGCTACTAGACCTTACTTTCATCAGTAAACAAAATGTTGTGCCATTTCTCTTTAGGCCAGTCAATGTGCTCTTTGGCAAATTGTAACCTCTTCAGCACATATCTTTTTTTCAACAGTGGGACTTTGCGGGGGCTTCTTGCACATAGCTTGGCTTCACATAGGCATCTTCTAATTGTAACAGTACTCACAGGTAACTTCAGACCTTCTTTCATCTTCCTGGAGCTGATTGTTGGCTGAGTCCTTGCCATTTTGGCTATTCTTCTATCCATTCGAATGGTAGTTTTTCGCTTTCTTCCACGTCTTTCAGGTTTTGGTTGCCATTTTAAAGCATTTGTGATCATTTTAGCTGAGCAGCCTATCATTTTCTGCACTTCTTTATATGTTTTCCCCTCTCCAATCAACTTTTTTAAATCAAGGTACGCTGTTCTTCTGAACAATGTCTGGAACGACCCATTTTCCTCAGAATGTCAGAGAGAAATGCACTGTAACCAGCATGTACAACATTTGCTGCCTTCCTTCCTTAAATAAGGGCAATAATTGCCACCTGTTTTTCAAAGAATGAATGACTTCACTAATAGAACTCCACACTGCTATTATTTTGAACATGCCCCTTTCAATTAGTGATTCAATTTACACAGAATCAGCAGCATGCATGTCATGACTGTTGGGTCTGTTGGATTTCTATTACTCTACTACACCTACTAGCAAATTATTTGCCATGTAGAAATATAATTTCTACCAAAAACAGTGATTGATCAGGTTAGTGATGTCTGACTGCTATTATTTTGAACACAACTGTATGTATTTTTGTTAATGTTACAAAGGTGTGTTGTAGAGTTGATATCCCTGGAGGTGTCTATAACATTGAACATGATTTGGCATTGCTAGAAGATGTTTCTAAATGTAAAATAATGCATCTAGGCAAAAAGGATCCCTTGAGAGAGTACATCATTGGGAGTGCAGTGTTGGCCAGCACTACAGAGTAAAAGGATTTGGAGGTACTTATTTCAGATGATTGCAAAATAAGCAGTGTGACAAGGAAGTGGGGAAAGCGAATAGAA